TCATTTCACATCAGCTTGATGTATTGTTGAAATTGATGTCCAATTAATCACAATTATCATAACTCACTTATAATAATTCATTCAGTATCAGGCAACCGGCCAAAACCTACATGATATTCCATTGGGATGAGATGAATAATTATTTGTATCTAAATATAAACCTGCTCATGTGTGGCCCTGGCCTTTAGTAACCTCAATAACCTCAAACTTGAATTAACTATAGAACTACTAACTACTATTAATATCGATATGTTGAAACAACAACGTTAACATTTCATCAGGACTTTCTCACGAAATACAGTAGAACCTCGATGATCAGTGCTCAATGTACGAGACACAATTAGCTGAGAAGCACGGAAAATCCGATCATTACATATTGTGTAAATTTTTAAATATGTAATGTTGAGCAAACTAGGACAAGATTAGTTGATAAAGCCCTCAGAAAAAGTTAACCGCAGACACGTGTTTCGCGCATTTGGCCCTCACCAGTTTGGTGAGAGGAGTGAAAAAGATAGGAAACACTTGGTGGAAGACGAAAAAACAAATCGACGGAGTCAACAAACAGATCAGCTGCACGATTGTGGTTTCGGTCAGAAGAGTTCCTACATTTTCAGGGCTACAACTAACGTCACCACGAAAGCAGCTATAGCTGATAAAGAAAATATGAACTTCATTTTGCGTTTGATTCTTGAATATCTATTACCCATTTATTACCGGCTCTCCTTCATGTATCCCAATCATGATGATATATCACTTGTATAGATCATATCATACGCTGAGTATAATTTTATAGTTTCGAATTTACTTTATATTTTTTCATTGTGTCTAAAATAGTAGGAAGTCACTTTTGATTTGAATTATAGTATATTATGTAACAAGTGTTATAAACGTCCTTTTAGTAACGAGTAGTCTAGGCACGAGTGGAGCACAGCGGAGCGAGTGTTTAATAAACGAGTGTCTAGAAGAGTTTATAAACGCGTTACATACTATGATTTTTCTAGGAACTCCGAAAATTACATTAACATACCTGCGATTCCTGCTAACCCACAAAATAATTCGAATGGAATGGGAATTGAGAACATGATACATGCAACTGCATGCAACCAACGAGACACGTATAAGTGATATTGGTTGTAGATGTGTCCAGTCCATTGCTTACTAACCTTTGTTTCACGTTTATTGTCATGCTTAGCGCAGAATAAATAAATTGTTCTCAAAGATGGATGCTTCATTTTCACACTTCTTGGAGATATGCAAGTACCAGAACATTCTCTTCGATTTCACTTTCGTCTACTTTTCGCATGTATTTTTAATGAAGAATTCTGATACAAACGAATGTTGTTTGAATAATTCTGATACAAAATTCGAAAATAACAGTTGACAGTAAATACAATTGACAGGCCAGACATGTCTCAAATTACTGAAGCTGTGTTTAATAAACTGCGTTGCCATGGTAATGTGTTTAAGAAATCGTGTTGCCATGGTAACGTGTTTAATATTTTGAATTAATCACAGATCGACAATCCGTGATTAATCGATCATTCAGCGTGGTACATTTCCGTACGCTAAATGCCATTTTAGTTATGTGAGTAGAAAAAACATATTATTTTTCCTACAACCGATAGAATATGTATATCAAAACTCCTTTATCCATAAAACGGCTAGACTCTGGAATTCATTGGCTGAGGAAGTATTCCCAACAACATATAATATCCAGAAGTTCAAAGAAAATTCCAATACCTACCTCCTGTCCCTATCCTCTCTAGAAACGAACGATGTTCTTTGAACATTATAGGGATTTCTTTTCGTGCGCTCCAAGCGATAAAAAAATTGAATGTAAAGTAACCACCAGATTATCATAATAATATGAGGGAGTAGATAGAAGCAAGACCTCAGACTAGTTTCCTTTGTTACAATTTGTGTTGATATGCATATAATATCAGATACTACGAAGTCAATACTACCTGCATCCGAAACGTGGATCTCGTGCCATATTCATGCAATGCATTCTATTACCCGTGTGGTGAGAATATATTCAACCTGCACTTACAGATCAGGTCTATTCAAATGTCAAGGTGGTTCAAACCATAGGGCACAAGGTGACCTATTTGTGTATTCTATTTGATCGATGAATCGATGAATTTATTCAGACCAGGTATCAGCCCTAATAGCAAATACCGCGCCTGTGCTAGGTGAAGGTGGAAATGTCAGGTAAGTGAGCGGATCAACAATAACAATAGTGATTATTCATTTTTTTTTTTTCATATTCCACTGTGTTTGGCTCGGTAATCAAATCGAGGTAAACAATATCGTTGTAGGACACAAAAAGGTAGGTATTGCTGAAAAACAAGTAATCTAATCAATCAGATCCCGGAAATAACGAATGAAATACAGATCAAGCGACTATGTGAATCTGGAAGGATTTCCTGATCAAAATGGAATATGGTGTATTTATGTATGCAGAATGTACATGAAATGCCAAATTTGCCAAAATCGGAAACAAATCAGGTTTGCGTCACAACCCAGATAACCAACCGTAACAATGTTGTTCATTCTAGATGACCTAGTAAATTGTTTTCAGTTCCTTAGAGCTAAAATTCAACTCTAGCTCCTAGCTATGCTTGTGTCAGTAATTGGAACGTCAGTTTGAGAACTAATTTTGGTATGAAAACGGACGACTTTTGTGTCGGTTGCAGAAATTAGCCCTTTGAAACAATTGAGTTTATTAAGTTCAATTCATCACCCTGTTAGAAAATGGTGATATCTGAGAGTTCATTTCATCGTTTTGATGGCATGAAAAGGGATCCCCATCATGTTCATGGAACATGATGCGTACCTAGAGATGAGATACGGACATAGGTACGCGGATTGAATACTTCTTCAACTTCTGTAAGTTTCAAGACCTTGGAGATCTATCCCCAGATGAAGAATTCCAGAATGATGATATTATAGCTGGATATTCCCGAAACGTGAGTTTCTATCGTGATGTTTAAATCAAATTATTACGCAAGCAACATTTTTCATCAGGCGTCAGTTACGTTTCCACATTTCTGAATACTTCATATTGGAAGTCATTTTTTGTTGGGTTGATATTCCCTATTTGCTTTACTTCTACTTTCACTTCACCGAGGGCTGGATACTGAATAGAGAATGGGTTGATCTCCAGAAGATAATCCTGTTGACTGAGAAGATGCGATTCAATTTCTATTAGGAAATCTCGCCCAGGAACCATATTAAAAAATCGAATTCCTGGTGAATGTCTCGAATATGATACTATAGAGTCAGGTCATTTTATTTATTTTTCAGATCTAGAGATGATGGAGTTGTCGAAATAAGTATTTCTGCTATACTGAATTTGATATCGGATGAATTTCGTTCGATTATTCAACCACATCAGTCTCCAAACCTCATAACTTTCTCAGATTATTTTGTTACGCATGTCAAAATGAGACGTCTTCGTTATTTCAATCAATATCGATGACTGATTCGAACCTATCATTTGGTTTTTTTTTTCAAAAATTCAGAAAAATAGTTGAGAAATTAATGACGCCGAAGTACATTCGAGGTGGTGTTTTTGTTTCAATAATTTCAACTATGGATTAGCAGTCTTAGTTGCTATTGAGAAATCCTACTCGTGGACTTCGTCCACTCTTGAGATTTCTATAGCAACAATGATTCGTGAATCTAGTTAATATTATAAACGAATCAGCACCACTTGTGTAAATACTCTGTATTATATAGGAATTTATTTTCGTGAGCTCTAAGAGGTGAATAGAATCGTAAGATATAATCATCTCATAAGAGGATGATACTTTCAGGAATATATTCAGTATAAGACAAGAAAGTGGACAGGAGTAATTTCATGAACACACATTATAAACCAATGTTATGTCGAGACAACATATACTTATTGACAACCTACCTTATTTTTTTTATAGGTTCTTCAGAGACAATGTGAATTCCGAGTCGTTTTTATATTTCTCTTGCAACGTGCTCAATAACGCAGTCTGCTCCCAACAGACAGCGAGACCTGATGAAGAAGTCCGTGTACAGGGTGTTTCCTATAACCTCTCTGACGAAATGAGAGGAGCGAAATATGTGGCTTTTTCAGCGATTGAGAGAAATCATCATCATGTCCAGGGACGTCTGGAACTTAACCGATATTATTGACAAAAATATATACGTCACTGACTCTTCCTGTGAGCAGCTAATGTAACGACTACTTCATTTCCTGAAGTGTTTTCGTATCTTGCTCTGTTCTCGAGATGGAACATAACAACCATTTTATTGCATGTCCATTGTCCATGGACTATGCTGAAAACAATGAAAAAACACGATGGTTTAACATCCATTGGCTCGGCCGGAGAGTCACCACATTCGCTGAGTATAAGCGCCTAGCGTTGCCAGACGGCAACACGAATATTTGATAGAAATATTCTACACATAAAACATTCCTGCAATTTCTGTCAATATGTCACATATATAACTCAAAGCATATGTGCAACATTATTATGGAAACAAAAATCGCGAAATCAAATGCGTGAAAAAAGAAAGATACGTACACGAATGTGTCGTCCATGTTTTACGTCAGTTCAAATAAACCAAAAGTTTCACAAATTCACGTGGCCGAACCAGCTTACTCACAACAAAGAACTGGCGACATGTGCATAAACGGTTCATTTGCGAACCATATGGACTGTCAATCACCCTTATAGCTAAAAATTTGAGTGCTAGGGAATTATTTGAATCTCCACCTGACTAGCGTTGCCATATGGCAAAGCTCGGCGCTAATGGGTTGAATACAAATTTGGAGCACCTTATTGTATTCAGAAACGAATGCGTGATTCGAAAAAAATATTTCACATTTTCGTCTAGAAATTGAGTGGGAATTTGCTCCTTTGTTTTTGTCAGAGAGGTTAGGAAACAGGTACCTATATGTATAGTAAACTGAATATAAAACAGCCCTGAGATGCACATAAAGAAATTTATTGGGATGGAAAATGAGGGTATTCGTGACTGCTACTCCCAGGAGCTGTGAAGTTGTAAAGCAGAAGGTCACAAATTCAGAAAGATACATTGTTCTGAGTTGGAAATACAAATATGCTCGGAGTCATATGGACGTCATTTTTGGTAAGATGTTATAATGTAGGGACATGTTCCGGGAACTATAAGAGTTATGAGATTTCTTGAAGGTTATTCTATTTCGTAATGAAATCTTTATCATCATCGCATGTTGCATATTCTTCATCAATCTGTGCTTCTCATTTGAATAATTTGTCAATGTTGATGTATGCTTTTCGTCCTCTTTTATACTATGCATCATTATCAATGAAGTCAACTTCATATTCAACAATTTGATTATTGAAATATGGTCGTATGAAGAAAAGTATCAATATGAGATAATGTATAGTCATTAGCAGTAAAAATGAAACTTTGTGTACTTGGACCTCTATTTCGAGATTCTGTTAATGAAACGTAAGCTCTCCAACTACATGTTTTATATGTACATATATAATAGAAAGGCTAGTAGAAACGATTACCTACCCTTGCTTCAGTTGTTTCGATGAATCTTCGACGAAATCACAACATTCTTGTATACAACGACACTGCAAAACTTCCCGTCTACATCTAGTGTAGAAACACTCTTATACCTTCTCTTTTTTGTCGAGGTTGTTTAAATCCTTTATGGACGTTTCTTATGGGTCTGATTTTCCATATAATAATGTGGAAGTCCCTTGACTCTAGCCAGGGTATACCTCATGGACGTTTGTATACCGACTAAACAACTCTTGAGTATTCTGTGCCTCCATCCCACTTGTAGGCTTTATACTGACCGATGTCTCCGACGACACTTAGGCCTAGTGGCCCATTGTATCTTACCATGGGCGCCGCCAGGATTTATTTCAGGGGGGTGCATCTACACAAAATGCTATCAACTGATACAATATCAATTATCAACTCCTGCTCAATTGAACTGCAAGAATCACATTTATGCACTAAATTAAACATTGAATATAACATAACCCCGTTTACGTGCGATAACTGCATATAAACGGGTCTGTTTTCTTGATTTTGAAAATAAATTCATTGGGAACATGACTATTAGACCGCTGATTGAAATACATGGTGGCACAGGGTTATGCAGGGTGACAAAGAATTAACAACTGCAAAATGTTGAAAAATTTTGCATGTTCCAATTTGATGGAAAATTTTTCAGATTTTTTTCAATCTCATTTTCAAACATGCTCATAGGTTTTCCTTGGAATGTTTGCGAAATTTTCCCCTATCTCTTCAAGTAATCAAAAAACATAAATTTCGAAAAATGTAAGATTTCTAATATCTGATGAGGCATAGTTTTCATTACAGCGCTATTTTCGTTTCTTTTTTTAGATGGGTTGTTGTGCTAAACTATTCTTGTATGAAATCTCATGTTTTTAATAACATTTTGTTTTGCAGAAAAAATAACTCTATCCAAGAGATTATCTCTGAAAATAGCGATGCAATGAAACATATTTTTTCGTCAGATATACGAAATCGCACATTTTTCGATGATTTGTTTGTTGATCTTGAAAAGAGAAGGGAACATTGCCAAACCGTTTCCAGAAAAATAACAGTACTTTCCTTCAATGACTCCTCCCCATTTTATTTTTTGAAGGGGTCAACTGGAGAAATTGAAACGGGGTGATGTAATTGATGCCATGAATACCATATTTGGAAATGAAATTGAGAGATGAAAAGTTAAGATGGCGACTGGGTACCATCTGGGAACAAAAATTGAATGGATAGCAAGGTTCTGTGATACGTCCTTTTGAAGCTCCAGACATATACTTCATAACCCTAGAATATGAAGTCAGTACCAACTCCAATAATTGCCTGAATACATTGACGTTTATTATTTGAGGAAATAGGCTGAGTTCAGTTCAGAAGATGCTCGAATTGATTTCCTTGAACTTCTTGACAACAGCACATTCGATATTTCACGCCGAACACTTTCGAACAACTATTTCGATATTTCTACAAATATGAATCATTATCTGTCGTATATCTAATATCAGTAGTAACTCGACTGCCAATCCAACGACCGGAAAAAGTATCATCCAAATGTTTCTAACATGCCTGGAGTAATGTGTTGGTGCTCCATCTTGTTGGAATACAATATTCATATTTTTGATTTGCAGTTCTTTGAAAACTCAACGAAAACATTCAAATACTTGATTGAACAGGACAATGAATCGAAAAAATTGTCAAAAAACTTTGCATCGTCGAAACAATTACAGATCAAGTGGTATCTGTACAATTTTCATAAGTGATCTGTCTACAACCCATTTATGTAATATATACACTCCTCTCTTCCTCTTCCGATTCTGAAATTGAATTATGTATATGCTGGGTACACAGGAAGTAGTAGGAGTTGGTTCATCACGTTTGAATTTATCGAACTCCTTGTTGAACAAGATTTTTTGGCACGAATACATTATTTATTCAATTTTATATTCCGTATATTGAATCAGTTCAGCACTGGAGATGTCTTCAGTAGATGGATATAATATTCAGTTACCCAGAATTCATCAATAATTCATTTTGTAAAGACGAAAGTACACGTATTTGGTATTCTGAAGCGCTGTTAGATTTTTACAACACATGGAAGTGACGTGTTGAGGAAGGAACGTTGAAAATAATTCATCAGAATATGATTTAAGAATACTGTCTGAAGGCATCATATCGGAAGGTGAGAATTTTTTTTTACTTTCTGATGGGATTCTCTCTCTGAATATATTAGTAATATTTCGATTTGTTTATAGCGAGGACAAATAACATGATTATCTCAAGATTATCACTACGCTTTGAATTTCACTAATATAGAGACCAAAATTGGAATTCAATCGATAGCCAGTTACATATGAGAGAGGAGTCATCCTTGGTGAATATATAATAAGGAGAACTTGAATTCTTGACAAACGACAGTTATTATTCTTCGTCATGGCAGTGACAAGACATATAAACACGGTATACCCTTTACCTAAAATGCACCGTTTTTGTTATTCGAGTTTATCTAGAAAAAGTGGCAATAATTTGGAGCATATCGAAAATTGAGCCATTCTTATTATGATGATAATTTCGAAATTCTACTCGTAGAAAATAAAAGAATGGGTCTCAACTATTTTGAATCATTAGAAATCCACGAACTCAAAAATTCTGACATTTCACTTAACGATCAATAAGACCTAAATAGTTCACCACTGTTGAATTTGTTTTCTTAATTAGACAATTTTCTATTCACGATATGAAAATGTTTTCATAATAATATATCGTATGAACATGATAGGAGAGCATGCATGAATATCGCTCAATCTACGAGGGATAGTATGTGTATATACCATAATACGGCATACATACCTGTGTGTAGAGCGAAAAAGGTTAGTAATAAATATAGAGGTGGATATAAATATTCAAGAAGAGACCTTCACATTATATAGATTGGTGATAATATGTATTTGCTATCAACCCTTTCAAGTTAATCTGGTATACACCGTATTTTAATGTAGATATATATAGTGCCTAATTTCCGAAAATAAAGGTTTATCACACCTGTTCACAGGAAACAAATCCTTCAAGTTGGAAAAGGAGGATATATTATATAAAAGTCAAGCAAGACAAGGTTAGTTCAGTTCATTGTATCAGCGAAGCTACTGTGCTAGCGAAAAATGTCGTGTGTTTAGGAATTTTGTGGAAATATTATCGTTGGTGAAGTTTTAACATTATTTTCCACTGCTAGTACAATTGGTTGTGAGACTTCCCAGATGAGTTGTTTTCCTTATCACATTGCTCACAGTCGTCAACCCCAGATAATGACTGAGAAACAACATGGAACATCCTGACGAAATGTATCTGAAATCATGAAGGAAATATATGACCAATCAATGAAACTATGTGGTTCCTTACTGTAATGTGATGATCAGCCTATATGTGCAGGTGCAGCAGTGAATGTCTTGATATATCTCGTATAAGTTTGTTTTCAACTAAACTGGAGTTCACCAACAAACAGTTATTATTTGATGAATGATAATAATTGTTAATTAATGCTGCATGCATTCCATTTTACTATTGAAATTTTTCCGACTGTCGGCAATTTTAAGGCAACGGCCATACCACGTTGAATATACCTAACCTCGTCTGATCTTAGAAGTCAAGCAACGTCGGGCGCGGTTAGTACTTGGATGGGTGACCGCTTGGGAACACCGCGTGTCGTTGCCTTTTTTTTATTTTTCCTCGCTTCATGAACTATACAGTATACGTCATGGAAAACAACCACAGATTTTTGTATCGCTTGGAGCGCATGAAAGGGAATCCCTATATCAATCATCCGATTTGGAAGAGAATGTCAATTCTCATTTCAGAGGTTGTTCAATTTGTTTAGAGCATAAATGCAAATGTGGAAAGGGGAGTTCATGGTTTGTTAATGAACTGATTAATAGAGCTTTGACAACTTCGGTTTGAAAAATATCGGGAACACTTGTTTCATGAACAGCGTCGTTCAATGCCTGTCTCAATCTGAGTGGCTGTTGGAATATTTGAGGAAGAATGCTTACTTCAATGATCTGAACAAGAGGTCATCAAGCAAGAAGAAGACTCTGATAAAAGCATTTGCAGACGTTATAGAGAAGCTTTGGTCGAACGATCCTTCGATCCGAGTCGTATGTTTGGACGATTTGAAACTTCGGATTCAAAGTTTCGCACCTCAATTCAGAGGCTCCTCGCAACAGGATGTACAAGAATTTTTTTATTACCTGCTGGAAGGGCTGCACGGGGACGTCAACATGGTCGTAGATGAACCAAACCCGAACCCAAAGCCAATACTTATGGAAATCGACAAATCATTTAGTTTTAATGTCGACGCAATGGATTCGTGGTCGAGATTCTTGATAATGAATAAATCTAAGTTCGTCGATAATTTTATCGGGCAGTTGAAGTCTACTTTGAGATGCACCTTCTGTGGCAATTGTTCGGAGACATTCGACCCATTTTGGGAGTTGTCTTCACCGATACCACAGCGATCAGGCCAACTCAGCTTGTCTCATTGCTTGGACTCGTTTACGAGTGTTGAGATTTTGGACGGCGAGGAGAAACCAACTTGCTCGATGTGTAAAGAGAGAAGAAAATGTTTGAAGTGATTATTCATCCACAAGTTCCCACAAATTTTAGTTATACATCTGAAACGTTTCTCGCAGACTGTAGAGTTCAGTGAGAAACCTAACACATTTGTCGACTTCCCCTTGTTCGGCTTGGACAATCTACATTGTGGAGAAGTCGAACGGAACGCTGATCAGAAGAAATACCTATTTCCTACGACCATCTCAAAATAAAGCTCAGTTCATATCAAATATAAACAGTCATGATGACAAGTATAGTTGTTAGTTTACCTTCTCCTAGTCAGTGGTATTGAGGAGGTGCTTGATGATTCACACGATCAGGCCCTAACTGAACTCAATAGATCAAAATAGAAATATTCCTGTAGTCCCAAGTGATGAGGCTAGAAAAAGCAGCAGGGTTACTAGGCCCCCAAGAAGGTTTATAATGATTACCAGATGTAGGAACAATATGAGGTAAAATGTTTATTTGTGTAGGTGTATTTGTAGTTGTTCAATTGCTTGTTCTGGGGAAGATGTCATATGATACTTTATGTTCTATGTGTTTGTAATCTGAATATACTGTTATTGACTGTTGGAAACACTGGCAACAGCTGCTAATGATAATGAGAAGAAATGAAACAAGGCTTATTGAAAAATTAGATAGTATTTATTAATAATTGTTGCGTGTTACAGTGTTACCATACAAATTGAATGAATGAATACTTCCATGATAAATCTTCATTAATTTACTGGTCACTGCGAACATATAACAGTGTCCTATATCATAAAACGTATTATGCTATTGTTATGTATTGAAAGACTTTTTCAATTCACCATTTATTGTATTTCATTTCACAATTCCAACTCAGGACAAAATCTTTTGTTACACACTTCTTGTAACCCTAACAACCATGCTCTTCATTCATTCCAATATACAGAGTGCATTTAATTAGTCTAATTAACGAATATGATATTGAACTAAACAATGGACATAATATAGTGAACATAACATTTTTCCCTCCTTAGATTGAAGATTAAGTTTTTCTGGAGCTTTTATTACTCTATGTGATTTTCTAGGGAAATTTACGGAATTATCCACAGAAGTTGATAATGGAGGGTCGTCAAGTATTTCACATGCCTTTGACTTTTCAAATAAATCTGAGTATCTATCAGAAATCTTGGTATCTGTCACAGTATTGGAGTCATTAAGTATTTCAGGTTCCCTCAACGTAGTAGTCGGATATGGTATACTAACGTTTTGATTACCACCGGAACTATAGTCGTCCACTAGAGGAGTTCCGAGAGGAGTTTCGGATGACTCATATTTTTTTTTCCGCAATTGATCACAATGAACCATTTTTATTACTTCACCAATTTTTACAAGATAGGTAACTGTACTTAAAACTTTTACTATGGTTCCTTGAGACCAAAACTTGTTTTCTTTTCGAATTTTCACATAGACATTTTCACCCAAGGTATACAAAACCTTTGGTGCACATGTTGAATTACTTTCTTCCATGGCCACTTCATGACCATAATGTGGTTTCAACAAATCTAATCTTGTTCTAGGTTTAACTTTGAATACCGTCTCGAAAGGTGATAAGCCTGTGGTAGTACTGGGTGTATTACGGTAAGAGAATAGAACATGATTTATTTTTGTTATCAACGAAAGTGAAGTTTTTCCTAAAGATTCATCCAGAAATAGTTTTTCTAACATTTTTTTTTCACTATCTGAACACCTCTTTCTGCAAAACCACTAGACTGACTATGGTATGGAGGGCTTCTAACAGGGTCAATTCCATTTGCTTGACAAAACTTGATAAATTCTGCAGAACTGAATGGAGGGCCGTTATCTGAAACTAATAGATTCGGAAGGCCCATAACCGCAAAACTTTGCTTCAGTTTTTCTATTGTTGCTGATGCAGAAGTAGTTGTCATCAGGTGTACGTCAATCCATTTGGAAAAGCTATCATAAATAATTAAAAAAACATTACTATTTTTGTGAAAAAAATCAACATGTATTCTCCACCAAACCCGAGTAGTTTTAGGCCACGAAACCAAATTATTATCTGAACAATTATTTTGCGTGATTTGACACGTTTCACACTTCCCAATGAATGATTCTATATCATCTGTTAGGGTTGGCCACCAAAAAATTGAACGTGCTAACATTTTTGACCTAACCACTCCCACGTGTGTTTCATGTAATGAGTCAAGGACTCTATTCCTCAGTTCCAAAGGTACTATTACACGTGTACCCCATAATAAACAACCATTTTCTATTGAAATTTCTTGACGTTTCAAAAAATATGGTTTCAAATCAATATCATCTACTGAACTTGGCCAACCACGAAGGGTCATATCATGAGCCTTAGCCAAAATTACATCCCGCTTGGTGAATTGAGCAATATCTGAAGAAGTTATCGGAACGTTTTCTAAGAGGTTAAATGAGTTTATAGATAATACATCTGTTCCAATAGATAGAGGTAGCCTAGAGAGTCCATCTGCATGTCCAATTAGAGATCCCTTTTTGTACTCAATTTTAAATTTATAAGCTGACAAAAATACGGCCCATCGAGTTATTCTAGCCGCAGCTGTGAGTGGCAAAGATTTAGATGGGTTAAAAATGATTTGTAGAGGTTGGTGGTCCGAAATCAATGTAAATTCCCGACCATACAGAAACCGATGAAAACGTTTCACAGCGAAAACAATTGCAAGAGCCTCTCTCTCAATTTGCGAATAATTTCGTTCAGCTGGAGATAAAGTACTTGATATGAACCATATTGGTCTATCGAACCCATCAATTGTATGACACAAAACTGCCCCCACCCCATAAGAACTTGAATCACAAATGAGTTTTAAGTGTTTGTTCGGATCAAAATGTATAAGTACTTGATTTTTTACTAAAGAGTGTTTGCCAAGTTTGAAAGCGTCATCACATTCTGAAGTCCAATTGAATTGAACTCCTGTTTCTTGTGAATGATATAATGGTCTCAGTATGGTGGATAGCATTGGTAAAAATTTGTTATAAAAATTTAATAAACCTAAAAATGCTCTCAACTCAGTGAGATTTTTAGGTTTAGGTGCCTTCATAATAGCCTCAATTTTTTCATTCGTCGGATGAATTCCTTGTTCATCGATTCGATGTCCAAGGTATTCTACCGATTTGGAGAAAAATGTGCATTTACTCAAATTAACCTTAACATTATAATCATTCAGACGTTCCAGTACCTGACATACATTGTGATAACAATCTTTTATATCTTCCCCTTTCACTAAGATGTCATCTGGATAACATAAAACATTCTCAAAATTACACAAAATTTTATCCATAACCATTTGAAATATTGAAGGAGCACTGGTAATTCCGTAAGTCAATCTCGTGTATCTATACAATCCAAACATAGTATTGATTGTCAAAAACTCCTGAAACTTCTTATCAACAGAGAGCTGTTGATAATCTCCCAATAAATCCAGGGTACAAAACACAGAACCTCCAGCAAGTTTTGTAAGTAAATCATTTATATTAGGTAGCGGATATACGTCTGGATTCAACACCTGATTCAGAGACACCTTAAAATCTACACAAACCCTAAGGTCGCCATTTTTCTTTGGGACCAAAACGATAGGACTAGCCCAATTACTATTGAGAACAGGAGATAGAATATTATCAGCTACCATTTCATCAAGTTTCTTTTTCAAATTTTTCTGTAGAGCAAAAGGAACTGCATATGGTTTACGAAATATTGGAGTGGTATTTTCTTTTACAGTTGAATTAACTTGAAAATGATTAATCGGTTCCTTAGTTCTACCTGAGAAAACATTCGAATATTTATTTTTCATCTGTACCATCAAACGATTTTCTTCAGTTTCATTTTGTCCACAATCTATGGTATTCACCAAAATATTATTTCTCCAACCTGGGCTGAGTATATCAAGCCAGTCTCGTCCTAACAAAGGTGTGAATTGTTTTCTTGTCTCAATTACTAATAATGCAAGACGAAACTGTTTTCTTAAATGAACTACATTTACTTGAAATTCACCCAATACCACGACAGACTGGCCAGTGACAACATTCAATTTGTAATCGACTCGATTCAAGGGAATATTTGAAAATAAATGATTATAAACAGATTCCGGTATAACAGATCTCGATGCTCCAGTATCAATTTCCATTAAAATTGATTTGCTATTTATGATAATCTCTATTTTTTTTGACTTGTTACCGATCGTTAAATTAGCTGAATACGCTAAGAGATCCTCTTGAAAATCAAGATCTTCCGAGTCAAAACGCAGCTGCGATAGATCTTCATCCAAAACTTCTTTATTTTGCTCCTCAGAAGGCTCATCCAAATTATTGACATTCTTCATTCGGCAAACGAAGGAAGTGTGCCATTTTCTTCTACAAGTGAAACATTCCCAATCTACTGCTGGACATGTTGAGGCATCATGAGCTCTACCACATCTGAAACATCTGTACCTTGACGCTCCAGGAAGATGCACTGATGTCGATGGTCTCTTATTGGCAGTATACTGTTTATCTCTACTTTTGTATTCCCGATTTCTTGAATTCGAAAGGCTATTCAAATAATCTGGTTGAAACATCTTCGTTTGATGATCGGCTAACTCAAAGCTATTAGCCATTTGACAAGCTATCAAGGGGACAACCCTTCGAGGGATATAATAGGAAATCACATTAATGCCACACATCACATCTGTGACTTTTAGAAGTGATGATGCGCTAAGAACTACGTTCAACGAAGGATTCTGAGCAAAATCAAGTGGCGTTTTCATTTTAATCAAGGAATATGTTCTCGCAGATATGACATGAACTAACATACTCTACAATATAGGAATATAGGAAGTGAGTTGAGTCAGCGGTTTTTGATGAATCCTGACGTCTGTATGCTGAAATAGAGGCATAGTCCTTCATGAATTTGTATAATTTCGAATGATTACTCTGAAGAAAAGATTCAAGAAAAATGAATCGTTGATTTCAAGTTTCCTCTTGAACAGGACCATCACGAAGCGAAGGGCTCATA